TGTAGAGAAAACATTCATGTCACGCCGCCATGCACTGTTAAATTGCTTCACTCCACCAGAGAGACCTAAAATATAAAAAAAAATAAAGAGATGAGTTTCACGGGAGTACATAACTCTAATATTACTTGTTTAAAAAATAAACACAAAATGCCATCCAAGGGGAGAAGCAGCAATTAGATGTCACGGTATATCCGTGCTCTATATTGCCTATATCAAAATATATCCGCATACACTTAGTTTAAGGAAACCTGCCCTACTTCACATCTCTTCCAGCAGAATTTTTAGCTTAAAACTTGGAGACATAACAAGTGTTTCATTAACCATTCACTCACACACCTTTAGAATACATTAAAAGTAGCCTGACAGTAAGTAACACTCACGTGTTCCCTCTCGGAGTCCCTGTTCATCTGTATGTATGAGCTGCTGTTAACAGGCCCCGCGATGAGGCGGCATCAGGAGATCAGTGTGTAAATCTCGGTGCTGCTGCTCCTCTCAGCTCTAATGATGGAGAGGCAGCGGGGCTCTTTGACGACGCCTCTCAAACACAGTAGTCTACGGCTGATGGGAGCAAATACGGAGAAGCACGCTGGTGTGTGTTTTGCATGTGCATGCCATTGTGTGTGTGTGTGTGTGTGTGTGTGTGTGTGTGTGTGTTTGGTTTCCTCTGTGTTTGTGCCCACGCCGTATCAGCTCAGCGTGCACAGCGTGTGTACGTGTTATTCCCAAGGTTCACGTGTGGACAGCTATTCGACTGGCGTGTGCGAGTGCAATCAGATTTCAATCTCTTCCCTCTATATGGCTGAGCTGCTGCAGCAGAGGTGCCCCACAGGGAAATGTAATTACACCCTTCTGGCCACAGAATACAGGCTTCACTGCCCTATCTGTCTCAGGAGAGACAGCGGCTAGAGGCCCCTTCTCACTTGCAATATCAAACAGCAGAGATGTCACTAAAGGCCCGCTATATCTCCGAATTTTGTATTAAATCCTCGCTCCAATCTCCTCCTCTAATCAGCTTTTAGATCCTGGGGTTATCGGTGGCCTTTTGCTACAGTTTTGTTACAGTTGTGAATAATTTATGACAGAATTAACTGTGGTTGCTAAGAGCAGTGATTGGGAGATTTGGGAGCGCAGCCAAAATCTGGCTCAAGTTCAAAGCCATTTTTCTCAACAGTTTTTCTGTCTGATAAGCAAAATCTCATCACCGTGGTTGTAATTATTACCATAATTATATTAATCTACATTTCCACTACCTGGGTCCCCTCATGTATGGATTTGAGGAGTTTTTATTGATCAACCTGCTGTGCATTACTCTTGTCTGCCATCCTTTTTTTTTTTTATGGCCATGTCTCCTCCACTGCTCGCGATTGGCTCCTCTCTCACTGAGGTGTGTGCTGAGATGGGGTCCATTAGTAAGGCAAAAGAGAGCGGCACTCCCCACTCTCCTGGATTTGGGCAAACAATCAATGACAGCACTCAGGTAACAGCAGTCTAAGTGGTCCATTGATGTTACGATTGAATGAATACAGCATTCAGTGGTGACGGTGGGACTTGCAAAGCCAAACCAACTTTCCCTTCATATACTGGTGTATGAAACATCATCCAAAGCCTTCGGCCCTATTCAGGCTTTTAAAAGAAAGAAGGGATTGTGTGGTAAACAGAAGAAAAAAGTTGAACATTTTACCCCGTGAATCTTAGTTCGTCATCCATTTCATCCTGTTGTACCTAGTCATGGTAACTTACTAGAAGTGCGGCCCTGCCAGAGCACTTCTGTCTTTTTCATTTCCCTGATTTGCCACACTCCGACTCTACCTTAATCTCCATTTCTGTGTTCATCACCCTCTCTCTGTCCCTGTGTTTAGCCGGTCACAACTTCAGCTACCCACCGCCTTCACACCCTCACCCCTCCCTCATGCCTCTCCCTTAGGGTGTAGCAGCCATTGTTGTGCCTAATAAGGTTTATGGAATTACAGATCTCTGAAATTGGATTTTCTCACTCCACCAAAGCAGTGGGATTACGGGTTTAAGGCTGGGTGCATCAGGGCACAAATGACCTGTGACTGAACTGCTTTTTCTGAATGCACCCTCAAGGTGGGCAGATCAAGAGATTGACGTCTCAGAAAGCTCCAAAGAAAGACAGAAAGGCAGACAGGCTCCTCGTGTCTGTATGTACTTGACAATTAAACTGATTCTAAATCAAACATCTTTTTTGCTCGTCAGCGTCTGGATTTCTGCTTCTCTCATGTCCACCACTCTCACTCTCACACTCTCCTCCTCTGACTGTCCTCACAACTTTTGACTGTGTTTGATCTAATTCTAATCTAATGAATCTTTTGATCTTCCTCGCCTGACACTCACACACATCCCAGATTTCTACATCCCAAAGTAGCTCAATTCGTTCTAATCCTTCAAATCTGGCCGTAGGTGAAGCAATTGATTCCCAGTGATGTACAGAGATTTGGACTGTCTACCCTATGCTTATGTGTAATGAACTGTGGGACTCCTCTCCTTACCTTGATCCCACCACCCAAAAGATACCTTATCACAAATCCAGATCAATTCCACTCGTATTGTTCAGATGTGGCTGAGCATTAACTGCGACTGAAGTGGGGGAGCATCAGACAAAAGTGAGAAAGCGGCAGAGACAGGCAGCATAGTGAATGCAACATTGAGATGTTGGCACAAAGGTAGTGGTATTCATTAGAAGAAGTCCATAGTGGCGGCTTAGTGAACTCTTAATTGGGGAAGAGACAGGAGTGGGGATGAGGGATCAATAGGGGCAGAGCCGGGGTTCCAGCCCACTGAAATCAATCAGCCTCCTGCTCGACACGGCGAATGCAGCCAATCAAAGAAAACACGGCCCCGGGCTCCCGCTCATTTACCCTCCAAGTCAAACTTCATCAGGATCAGCCTGAACAGACAGACAGCTCATTCCAGCTTATCTCGATCACAGGAGGATGGAGTCGCTCAGTTGCTTTTATTTGTTAACGTGAGCATTTGATCTTGTTGCTCTGGAATGTCATTACAATTTTAATGCAACTCTGCCAAGAACTCAAGATTATTGTAACTAATAAAGCATGATTCATTAGCACAGGAGCCCGGTATGGAAAGGAATGTTAAATGAAACCCTACCATATTTTTACTCCACGGCTAAAAATAGTCTCTTTCTCCTCTCTTTCTTTCTCTTCCTCTTCGCCTGGGTAATAGCCATCTTTCTGCCCTGTCACTTTTTGATGTATCATCCTCTTATTCACATCAAAGACAAGGCCAGGTGTTGAATTTTCTCTCAGTTGCCACGCTTGTCACACTGCCTTGTCACCCGCAGCCTGTTCCAATCTCCTCCCTTCTTCCTCCGCCTCCCTGCTTATTTATATTAAATCTGTCACTCCTTTATTTTAGCGAGAGAAAAATAAAAGTAAATCATTTTTGCCATTTGCAGCCTGCGGTGTCTGCTGAATGCTGCAAGTTTATGTGGATGTCATCTTTGGCCAAATAAAATCCTGTCAAAATAAATGATGTCTCTGCTGTTTTGTATTGTTGTTGCACAAGTGAAATCCCTCCTCTTTGTTGTGTCCTTGGTTTCAATGTCTATGTCAGTTTTGTGGTAAGCTGTCGAGGAAGATGCTTCACAGTGAGAAACAAGCCTTGACTGCTTTTTTTTCCTGCTTTTTTTTATTGCTCCAGATGGACAGACAGACAGATAGACAGACACAGGTGTCCAGTCTCACCTCTCTTTGATGCCCATGAGTGGCTGGCAGAGCTGGCTCAGGCAGAGAGCAGCTGGGGTCAGAGACGTGCCTTGGCAGTGAGATACATGTGGGCTTGTAAGGTTCTCCAGGGTATTCTTAGCCGAGGTGCACATACCAAAGGGGTGCATGTGTGTGTGTGTGTGTGTGTGTGTGTGTGTGTGTGTGTGTGCACCACCGCACTGTTGTGTGCAAAGCATCTCACCAATGACTACATATGAAACATTAGATACTCCGTCAGTATAGAGAGACTAAAGTGACAGATCTCGCAGCGTGGTTTTGGAGATGTTGGTCGGTCTGACGGTCGGTCAGTCAGTCGGTCGGTCGGCTCAGATGTTCACATGCTGGACACTGACACCTGTCAAATCAAAACATGGATCAGACAGCTCCACTCCTGTCAACATGTCTTGGCAGGCGGACACAGAAAGAGGCCTTGTAGCTTATAAGAGCACAGATAGACGCTGCTGGAAATGTGGAGACGGTGTTAGATGGCAGCTTGATGGAACGAGCTGGGTGAAAACAGCTATTTTTCTCTACCTCAGCTGCCTCTGACGCCTAGTTTAAAGCAGTATAAGTAGGGATTTACTTGTCTGCCTGACTGAAAGTGAGCAGTGTTTACATAGCATTACAAACAGTAGCTGATTATTAGCACAATCACTAAAAATGTCCTGGAGGGTGAGAGGTAATTATGTTAAAAACGAGACAATTTTTACTCTATTTCTGGCAGAGGTCTAATTAAACCACCTCCCGAACTATTGCCTGCTTCCTCAGGCGTCACATCAGTCAAATATGGATTTTATCTTGTGTGAATACTTCCAGATACATGCGATTACAAACCATGTAGACTGCTATGCCATGTGTGGTTGTTTATCTCCATATCCTACTGTGCGTCACAGTGTTTTGGTCTAAGACAGATGTGTCACCATCCTCGGGGTAGGTGTGAGGGAGGAGTGGTGACTGGGAGTGGCATCTGGGCTCAGACTGACTTACTGCGTCGGTTAGGGAGGACAGAGACAATACAGGCCAGCATCAGACATGGATGAATCATAATGCATGCAATATTCATAGTATGAAAAGATGTTTCAAAAAACAAGCCTGAATGCTGTAGATATGAGATGAGTCTGGCTCCGTCTGAGCTCCTAAGTGGAAGTTGCATATGTTCCAAGTATTCATCCACTCCGGACTTTGTGTTTGCTTACAGAACTTGGCAGTCAGAGGCTGATTTCAGTGGGAGAGGAGAACATCAGAGACAGCTTGTTTAGAAAGGAAGGTAAGGCTGTTCACCTCTTACTCGCTATGAAAAGGAAATCTCGCTCTGCCCTCTCATTTCTACCTCTCACACGTAGAGTGCATTCAGAAAGTATTCAGACCCCTTCATTTTCTTCACATTTTTTCCTTTTATGTTGCAGCCTTGCGCTAAATTGTTTCAATTAATTTTTCAGTCTGCACTCAATGCCCCATAATGACAAACATAATCTTAGACATTTTGCTAATTATTAAAAAGGAAAAACTATAAACTAAATATCACATTGACAAGTATTCAGACCCTTGTAGACCTGTCTGAATACTGTGAAGGGGCCTGAACATTTTCTGAATGCACTGTATTGTTTTGTTTGTTTCGTTTGGGGGGGGGGGCATTTTTGCCTTTATTTTTTATAGTAAAGTGAGAGACAGACAGGGAAGTCAGGGAGAGAGAGAGGGGATGACATACAGCAAAGGACTATGGGTTGGTTTCGAACCCATGGCCGCTGCACTGTATAGTTGACTTGCATGAGTGGATGGAGGTTTTGTTTTGTTGCTACAGCTACTGTATATATATATATTTTTTTTTTAAGTATATTTTTTTTGGCTTTTGTGCCTTTATTGGACAGGATAGTAGAGAGAGACAGGAAATGGGGAGGCAGAGAGAGGGGGAATGACATGCAGTAAAGGGCCGTCTGAACCGGGGCCTGCTGCAGCGAGGACTGTGGCCTCTACATATGGGGCGCCTGCTTAGACCACTACGCCACACGACGCCCCATCTACTGTATATTTTATTGTATTTGCATATGGTTACTCACAGATGTTGACCAGAGCATGTAAAGTCGAGTCTGTGTCTGTGCCTGTGTCTGTGCCTGTGTCTGTGTCTGTGCCTGTGTCTGTGTCTGTGTCTGTGTCTGTGCCTGTGTCTGTGTCTGTGTCTGTGCCTGTGCCTGCGCAAGGTTCACTCACTCCAATGCAGTCTGCCGCTGACCTGTCCTGCATCTATTTTTTATGTCTATCTTTACAACTATCTGGGTATCACAGCTTCATCTGAGCAGAAAGTTAGCTTCTGATTATTGTTCCTGTTACCATGGATTCTACAGATCTCAGAGGAAACAAACAGCACAGCAGGCTACAGTTAACGTCAACACTTTATTTACTGTGGGGGATAGATCTGTCACCTCCAGAGGCGACTCATGCATCATGCTGCTTCAGTCAGCCTCACAATCACATCACCTCATTTGATCTGCCTGCCAGTGATTAGCATTTCATTCTGCACAAACAAGAGGATGGTTATTGTTGGCCCCACTGAGATAGAATCCATGATCAAAGCGAGCTGTGGGTTGTGTTGTGGCCACAGCAGATGCCCCCTCAGTGGCCGTCAGTCCAAATGGTAATTATGAAGAGATGAGAAAAGGGAATGAAATGAAAGATGTAGAGAGAGGGGGTGAGGTGAGGCTGAGGGAAATAGTTGTGAGAATTAATGAGCAAGCTACAAAGCTTAGAATTATTAAATCAATAGCTGAAAAATAGCCTTCACCCGCTGTGGTTTTGGGCTGTAAACTAGCTTCATGTCTTTACTAAACAAGCAACGATAACATAGGGCATTTTTCATGCTTTAAATCAGTATTTGGAAGCATCGAGTAAAAAAAGAAAAATGGAAATGTGTTTGTGCAAATATGTTGTAAAGAGGCAGTAAATCTGCCAGATCTGGAAACTTCACCTCTGCAGGATAACACTGTCCTTCTGGCTGTTTACCAGTAACATGCTTGTGCTGCTGCTGTGATCAGAGTCATCCTGTGTGAACAGTTGGGTAGCAGCAGAAGAAGCAGCTCTCAACACATGTGGGCATAAGATATGCACAGCTGTGCACAGCTGACTCATTATCACTTGCAAAACCATCAGTGTGTGTGTGTGTGTGTGAGTGTAATCAGCTCTCCTTTTTGATTAACAAATGACTCGCTACAAACGGCTCCTAATATAGCTGTGATAGTTTACTGTTTTGTTTGTGAAAAAAATATGCCTGCCTACATAACTTTTCTTGACGGAGCATTTGAGGGAGCTGAACTTTGATTTTCCTTCTTGTCTCCGTGACAGTAGCAGGAGCAGACAGGTGAATGATGCGCCTTTGGTAAGCTATTCTGTTTGAGGACTGATCTCCACTTCAAAACCCCAGTGTGAGGACAGCATTCACCTCACTCTTTCTTCCTCCTCTTCTTCTTCTGGCAGAGGGGGCCTTCGGCATTGCAGGATAAAAACCAAAAGTCTTCAAGAGAAACTCTTCAAAGGCGCAGTTCATCTGCCGAGTGAAGACCTCATCAATTCAGTTTTCTTCTCTTAAACCACTGTCCCTTCCACAGAGCTCTGGTTGTTTATGAACAGAGTTATGTGATATTTCTCATCCATTTCTTGCAGCTGGTTGCATAAGGTGCTTTTGATATCTTGTGAGTGATGAAGGAATATCTTCCCTTTTACACTTTGGGGGATTAGCTTGTTGTTGGTGACTTTTCCTCACATCCTCCTTTGGGTATATGATGCACATTTTGGGGCTCCGGGAGAATTTTCCTGACCCTCATTTTCCACATCAGCAAGATGAAAACTGCCAGCCTGCCTCCATGCCCCAGCCTGCCTTCTGCCCGCTGATTAAAAGTCAAATATTAAAGTGCTCTGTTGTGAGCTCGGCCTAATTGATTCTTTCCGCCGGGTGCACACAGAATGGGCTGACAGCAGGCGATACCAGGCTTTGTCAACATCGGGCATGTTGCCTGACGCTCAGGATGGCACCCCAATAAAGCCCCCTGTGAGTGTGCCAACCTGCGGCGCCACAGACAGAGAGGCCACTCGGCACTCTGGCCAAGCTTTATAGTAACAACACAGAAGCAGCTCATTCTTTTGTTGTGTGTCAGCTTCCATCGGCTGGCTGGGAAGTTGGCTCTGTATTTGTAAGGATGTGAGGGAAGTGTGTGTGTATATGTGTGCGTGAAAAAAGAAATCTCTTCTGCCCTCTTGCATAACCACTCAGTTAACTTAAGCTATCTGGGGCGACGGCGCTGAAAGGAGGTTTCATTTTTCTACAAAAGGCCATCTTCTTCTCGTCTTACCCACAGCTCTCCTGCCGTTCAGATAATTGCTTTAATGGCTTTTAATCACAGCCATGGTTAACAAGTAGCTTACCAAACACAGAATGACACCGAGTATGTCACCCCTGCCCACCGTGTGAAAAACGCACGACAACCGATTCTGGTTGAAGCCTCACATCTTTTGCTTACAGTGTTTAACCCTCCCTTGACTACGATGTAGGGATAATTAATTGAATCTTTCCTGCAGTAAAAGTGTCCCTCTCTCCTCCTCAGACCAAGGCACTGTCGCTCTCTTATCTGCTTACCCTATGAATTTACAGGCCATTTTATGTGCATCTTAAATTGGCTTTGCTCCCCATTTATTTTTAATGCTTTTCTAACTCACATATAGGAGGGCGCAACAGCAATCCTGGTGCTATACAGCGCTCATTAAATGCAGACATTCATCCACGACGCTTTTCTCATGAATCTGATTGACCTTTTCGCTCAGTGTGATCCACAGTAAAAGGTTATAGGTGCCTATTAATCCCCCTGTGCTTGAAAAGCCGGGTATATCTCCTGTCCTGTCTGATGCTTTATGTTCCACCGGAGCCGACAGGAAGGTGCGATAGGAAGGTCTGAAGGCGTGTGGGGGTTGAGGTCAGAGAGCTGGCCGACGGTGCGGTAATGACTCTATTAGTGAAATGGGGCCACTCCACACTCTGACACAGCACTAATTACAACACAAGGGTGATGAACTTGATCAAAGCGCTGGTAATTCATGTTTAATAGAAGAGAAAGGGAGAAAACGGAGGGAGAGGGCGACGGTGACGGAGAGAGGGTGAGCAGGTGTGTGCGGAGAGCCTTTTAAAAAAGGAACAAAATCACAACATGTACTTTCTCCACATGTGTAAATTGAATCTGTTCGGTATTTGAATTTTTTCACTTTGCATTTCAGTGTGACCGATTGCCAGCAAAGTCATGGAACGGTTTCCCAACTGCTTCAGTAGCAAAGGCCACAGAAAAGTAATCACAATATCCCCTCCCCTGAGCACTGAGCAGGGGTTTCATTCCTACCTCCATCCTGTTACTTCACTGCTGTAGATCCCAGAGGGGCTCCAGAGGCTGAGCGGAGGTCATGATCACAACCACAGGGGGGCTGACAGCTGGCTGCCTCTCTGACAGGCACCTAATGGAGGGCTAATAGGAGAGAGTGGAGTCCCCGAGACCACTGCTGTGACCTTGACATGAGCCCGTGGAGGCAGGCAGGTGGAGAGGAGGAGGAGGAGGGAAGGAAAGGTGAAGTGCCATTATAGAGGCTGACAGGGAGGTGGTTTAAATATCTCTTTCTCTCCTTTCTCTCTCAGTCTGTTTATCTGAACTTTGCTTATTTCTGTTGTCCAGTTAGTAAGCCTGCAAAGAACTTCAACACAAAAGAAGAGAGATTTAGTTTTTTCTCTCCTTGTGTGTGTGTGTGTGTGTGTGTGTGTGTGTGTGTGTGTGTGTGTGTGTGTGTGTGTGTGTGTGTGTGTGTGGGTGTGTGTGTGGGTGTGTGTGTCTGTGTGTGTGTGTGTGTGTGTGTGTGTGTGTGTGTGTGTGTGTGTAGGTGTGTGTGTAGGTGTGTGTGTATGTGTGTGTGGGGGTGAATGAGTCAGTCAGTCAGTTAAGTGTGTGCATGGGTGTTGGAATGCGTCAGAATAAATGTTAAAATTTTATTCATAGTTTTTTTTTTAAATTACTGTTAGTTGTTATTTCAGCAATCCCCTTCACTGGGTGAAGTGTTTAAAGTATTTTCTGTGTGTAAGTGCTGATAAATTATTCTGTTTGGGGAAAGAATTATTGAGATTACAGCAACGTCATCTTTATATGACTAAACCAAACTGAAAGATTTCCTTTTCATTTTAGAAGCAGATTTTAAGTTTCAGTTATTTTGAAGTAAAGTCTACTGCCAGTAGTATTTTGAACTTGA